TTCAATCACCTCATATTTATGTGGAAACTGGACAATGAATAAGGAAGATTAGAGAGGAATCAATGCATTTGAGTTATGGTGTTGGTGAAGAATACTGAAAGTACTATAGACTGTGAAAAGAACAAACAAGTTCGTACTTTGGACATGTTATCAAGAAGGACCCGTCTCTGGAAAAGGACAACATGCTTGCTAAAGTGGAGGGTCAACAAAAAAGAGGGATATTTACAACAAGATGTACTGACCCCTGACTACAACAACGAGCTCAGACATAACAACAATTGGGAGGATGACACAGGCCTCGCAGTGTTTTGTTCCGCTGTACAGAGAGTCACTGAGTCGGAGAGGGCTGGGCAGTACCTACCAACTACAACCACCCAGTTTTGTTTTGTTTTCTACATAGATAAGAAAGCAGTCACTTGAAAACATACACAAAGTAAGAGTTAGATGTAAAAACAGCAAAACTCATGTTTTATTTGGGCAAAGGTACACGCTAGCTTTATATGATAACATTTGCAATGTACACTATTCGTAAACAACCAAGCTCAATGTTGATCACCATACTCTTTGATCGCAATACTTGTTCATTTTAAGACTTAATCTATCAGGAACAAAGAAGCATTGTTTACTCATTCACTGACCTTTGGTTGTTGATTCTGTGAACTCAGCAGATTAAAATTGCAAAATTTGCATTCTGCTAGCACTATGGGGAAAGGACCCCTGGTGGCACTGTAGAGTAAGCACTTGATTGCTCTCACTCTGTGGGAGAAAGATGAGGCTGTCTGTTCCCATACAGATTTACACCTTTCGGAATCTTATTGAGATTTTCCATGAATCGGGATCAACTCAGTGGTAGTGGCAGTGGGATCAGTATGGAGAAGCCCTGGTAGCACAGTGGTTTAAGTGCTCACCTGCTAACCAAAATATCAACAGTTCAAATCCACCAACCACTCCGTGGGAGAAAGATATGGCAGTCTGGTTCTCTACAGATTTGCCACCTTGTAAACCTGATAGGGGAGTTACACTTTGCCTTATAGGGCTTGACTGTGAGTCAGAATCTACATGATGACAATGGGTTTAGTGTTTTGGCTTGTCAACATGGCACCAATGGTGAGCAAGAATAAAGCAGATACCAATGCTAAATAACACACAAATCTTATCTGTTTACTTTCTTCCCGTTTCAAATCAGGGGGTAGGTAAGTGAATGGTGCAGTTAATGCACTCAACTGCTAACCAAAAGGCTGAAGGTTCAAATCTACTCAGAGGTACCACACGCACACAAAAAGCATGGTAACCAACATGGAAAACCAGCCACTGAAAACTCTACAGAGCACAGTTCTGTTCTGATTACAGGATTATTTACTGTGATTCGGAACCACCTCAACAGCAACTGGTATAAATGTGTCTATACTCTTAAAAATATATATGGATGGTCTAACTGTCATCTTAAAGATGATATTTTTAATTGTGGCAAACAAAAATCATGTCTTTAGTAGGTTGTCTAGGTTACCTCGTGCTGCTACAGCAGAAATACCAAAGGTAGATGGCTTTAACAAACAGAAATGGATCCCCTCACACTTTAGGAGGCTACAAGTCTGAACTCAGAGTGCCAGTTCTGGGGAAAGGCTTTCTCTCTTTGTCGACTGTGGGGAAAGGTCCTTGTCCCCTTTCAGCATCTTTAGAGCCAGCATTCCTGGGAGATCTCCAT